CGGAGAACTTCCTATTGGCTAAACAGTAATTTCAGACTTCATGTGGACTTTGAACAATGTAATTCCTGTTTTTTGCTAAAGTCTAGTTTATAACTATTGCAATTTCAGACTTTTTCTTGCAAATTAACCTTCTGACCGGAGTACTCCCGACTATTCCCTTAAGTTTGGTTTTTCACCAGTATAATTCTTAAATTTTTGCTGAAGTATGGATTATGATTATTCCAGTCTTTTTTAAGTTTATTTATATTTCTTTGATTATATATATTTTTTTAATTAAAATGCTTTTTTTAATTTTTTTAAATTAAAATGAATTTTTAATTTTTCCCCCTCATTCCGCCCAAAATGCTTTGGGCGGCGCCACTCCGGTTCCCGCACCCTGGCGCTTCATTTGCTAGCGACGGAACTGTTTAGGACCATAATTTATACTTTGAGTGATAATTTGCTAAATCTGTCATAACATTTTCAAGGGAATAGACGTTCATATCTGCGGTTACTTTATACAGAGTTAAGTTACACACTCATTTTTCAACGAAACTCAAATTTTATTTTTTCAATGTGTAGCTTGAATGTTGCCATTACAAAAATTATACAACACAAGGTGACAGGGTCCGGTGATCGAGAAGGCGACTCCACGCAATGAAATGAGGCGTCCAGGTCTACCTTAAAAATTCCATAGCTGCTCTCAATGTATGGCATGTCGCCCCATCTTGTTGAAACCATACAGTATTGAGGTTAATACTCGACCACGTCTCCATTCTTACTAATAACTAAATGGCGGCTCCTGACAAACAGATACCCCCCACTCTTTATCCACCAAGGTTCTCCACACCTTGCGTGGCGCCACGTTCAAATCATCCATACCTCCCTGCCTATGTATATAACCCTGTATATGAACTCCATCATCGCGTCAACTTGTTGTTCTTGAGTAAGGTTTGAACCTTGATTTAATGGATTTAGTAATACAATGGCTTCAAAGCATGCTCATTACTTTCTTCAAATGATTTCAAAATATTGACAACATCGTTTTTATTCAACATTTGACATATATTCACAAATGGTTTGATTTTCTTTGCTGACCATTGTGTTGTAATTTGAAATAAAGATATACTATGTGCACTTAAACAATGGACTTTATTTAATTTTATTTAATACTAATTGACAGAAGGCTTCGTCAAACTGCCTGAAGATGCCTTAAAAAAAGGCGAAACCGGTCAAGGCACAATTAGTATTAAATAAAGTCCATTGTTTAAGTGCACATTAGTATATCTTTATTCCAAATTTTACACATTCACAAACTTTGTAAACAATACTGCTTAAGTATGATTTTAGGATTTTCTTCAACTTTAAGTTCAAAGAAACTGTGATGTTCATCTCTAATTTTTATTTTATGTTGTACTTCTCTTGGGTTTTCTTCTTAATTTTTTCCCATCTCAACTGTTCTTTTTGCAACACCAAGAATTTCAGCTAAATTGCNGTTCTTGAGTAAGGTTTGAACCTTGATTTAATGGATTTAAATACAATGGCTTTAAAGCATACTCATTACTTTCTTCAAATGATTTCAAAATATTGGCAATATCGTTCTCATTCAACATTTGACATATATTCACAAATGGTTTGATTTTCTTTGCTGACCATTGTGTTGTAATTTGGAATAAAGATATACTAATGTGGACTTAAACAATGGAATTTATTTAATACTAATTGTGCCTTGACCGGCTTCGCCTTTTTTTTTAAGGCATCTTCAGAAGGCTTCGTCAAATTGCCTGAAGAAAAAAGGCGAAACCGGTCAAGGCACAATTATTATATATCTTTATTCCAAATTTTATATATTCACAAACTTTGTAAACAATACAGTCTATACCTTTTCAAGTTCAAATTGGCATTAATCAAATTGAAAATGACATTAAACAAAACCAATTTGGCAACTGTCATAATCAAATTGACATTAATCAAAATCAAAATGACATTAATCAATATCAAATTGACATTCAATAATTTAAAAAGACAATTTTTGAATCGTGATTAACGTTTTAAACGCATAATTTTATACTTGTTAATAAACAATATTGTTCACTCAAAAGGTGACATCCTCCATGTTTAAAATAGAGGTGATGTACTTTTGAATTCCGGCTATAAACCTGTTACAGTTAATTTTAATTCTGTACTCTGTTAGAGACAAATTTTCTCGGTCATTTCCTTCCAAAATATTTATAACTACATTCGCCACATCTGCCTTTACACCTGCTTTCAAAATTGACCAAGCGCGTTCAATTGGGTTTAGCATTGGACTGTAAGGACTTACAAATTTATTATGAAGAAATTCTTATTCTTCAACACCTGTTCAACACCACAATGACAAGGAGCATTATCAATGACTTAAGCCAATGAGCATTAGCTGTCTTGAGCTCTCCTTAAGCATTGCCTAACAAACTCGTTAGCCTCTTCTCTTTTAAATGACCCCCTTCTTAATTCATGATATATCAATCCCAAGCTACTGGTACATCCGATAATATGAACATTTTCTCCCTAGTTACTGGCAGCAATGAAAGTACCATGAGTAATGTTTCTTGCAACTGCTTACGTATGATTTTAGGATTTTCTTTAACTTTAAGTTCAAAGAAACTGTGATGTTCATCTGTAATTTTTATTTTATGTTGTACTTCTCTTGGGTTTTCTTCTTAATTTTTTCCCATCTCAACTGTTCTTTTTGCAACACCAAGAATTTCAGCTAAATTGCACCAGACGCAATTCGTATTTGGTATTACTTTGGCCGTTGATCGAGTCATATTCTCCAAAGCTTTGGCAGCTTGTTTTTGTCTCACTTCTTCTAGGATAGCTTTTGGAATTCCTTTTAAACGTGGATTTTTAATATCTTCTGATGGTGTTTTAATCTCATAAGAAGACATATTTTCTTCAACTCTTGAAACTTTCGTTTTTTGAATTTGAATTGGATGTAGCTTGTACATTTTTTATTAAATTATGGAATTTACAAGTACCTTCGCAACTATAAGCTTTGGTACCATATCTGTGGTGAAATTTGCAAATATTTGAACGTTCTCGAGAAAAAGAGAAACGACAATGTGAACAACACTGTTATAAAGAATTTATATCTTCAACACTCTGTTGAAAGTTATTTAACAAAGGCAAATCATGCGTTGAATGTGAATTTTGCAAGGTGTAATTTCAGAAACTTTTAATGAAGGATAAGGACCGGAATTTAAAAAATCACAAATCTTATCTGCCATTGTCAACAATTCTAGTGGATCACTTTTTCCAGAAGCCAGCAAGACAACAGAAATTGTGTATGGAAGCCTCCTCTTCCAAAGTTTTAATAATAAGTCTTGACTTACAACTTGAGAACCACCTGCAGTAACCATCATACCTCGGAAGAATTCAGATGGTTTTTGATTTTCCATCTCTGAACCTGATAAAAGTGATAGTCTTTCAATTAAAGTGTTTTTATGAAATGGATATGTTTGCATCTGGTGGACTATTAATTACATCAATAACTGATGAAATCATATTTAATGGTAAATTAGAAATCACCAGATTGTATGTGGCTTTGTTATTTTGTACATTAGAAAAATTTTGCGTTCGCCAACATTATTATCTGGCATTTTGAATGAAACCTTATTTAATATAGAAGAAGCAATTTATGACGAATAAAAACAACTGTCACTCACCCAAAAATTAGTTCTTATGATGATTAGTTATAATTATAATAGTAGATTTTTCTTTTATATAAGGCAGATTTCTTCTTGTCGTATGTGATGTATTTGTTATTCTANCTTCTCTTGGGTTTTCTTCTTAATTTTTTCCCATCTCAACTGTTCTTTTTGCAACACCAAGAATTTCAGCTAAATTGCACCAGACGCAATTCGTATTTGGTATTACTTTGGCCGTTGATCGAGTCATATTCTCCAAAGCTTTGGCAGCTTGTTTTTATCTCACTTCTTCTAGGATAGAAGAAGTGAGACAAAAGATTAATGAATGATAAGGACCGGAATTTAAAAAATCCCAAATCTTATCTGCCATTATCAACAATTCTAGTAGATCACTTTTTCCAGAAGCCAGCAAGGCAACAGAAATTGTGTATAGAAGCCTCCTCTTCCAAAGCTTTAATAGTAAGTCTTGACTTAGAACTTGAGATCCATCTACAGTTACCATCATACCCCGAAAGAATTCAGATGGTGTTTGAGTTTCCATCTCTGAACCTGACAAAAGATCATCCAAACGTTTTTCTTCACTTTGTGACAGTCTTTCAATCAAAGTTTTTTTATGAAATGGATATAAGTTTGCATCTGGTGGACTATTAATTACATCAATAACTGATGAAATTATTTTTAATGGTAAATTAGAAATCACCAGATTGTATTTGGCTTTGTTATTTTGTACATTAGAAATTGAAAATGTTGCTTCTACCTGAGTGAACCAAATCTCAGGTTTAGAGACACAAAAAGGCGGAAAAATTTGCGTTCGCCAACATTATTATCTGGCATTTTCAATGAAACCTTATTTAATATAGAAGAAGCAATTTATGAGGAATAAAAACAACTGTCACTCACCCAAAAATCAGTTCTTATGATGATTAGTTATAATTATAATAGTAGATTTTTCTTTTATATAAGGCAGATTTCTTCTTGTCGTATGTGATGTATTTGTTATTCTATGTGTAGATTTCTATATTCTGTATTTGTGGACGATTTCTTCTTGTTGTTTCTTGTTCTGTGTGGTATATTTCTTCTTCTAAACGTAATGAAATTGTAAGAACATAACCAAACAAAATAATAACTCAAATTAATCATATTCAAGGTAAATGAAATTTTAAACGAAAATTAAAATTATTAAAAAAAAGCGAATAATAACGAAATTGAAAATTATAACTTAGCTTATCTTGTAGATTATTACTGATGTTCTCGGATAAGGAAACTTGGACTCTTCAAAGAAATCGGAAACAATGATTCTTGATTAGATTGGGATAATTCTTCGGAATGGTGTACTGGATTAATTGGATCAGGAACCAGTTAATTTTCTTGTTATTTATTAATTCGACTAATCTTCTTTTCTTCTTATTTAACGTATTCAAATAATAAGTTTTCTATTTTTGATGTTATGTCACAATGGTGATTGAGAAGTAACCTAACTTTTGTTGTGGTTTTTAAAATGATCGAGGACAAAAATTAGCGTGCGCTCCTTGCCACGTTCAAAATCACACTCTAACCTTAAAGTTTCGTTTGTTTATTGCAAGAACGTTTTAAATAACGTTTTCTGATTGGTTAAATTCATAAACTTGAAATTCGTAATTTAAATTTCCCCGGTATTACCAACTTCGAAATGTCAAATGTCACGAATTAAATTTTATCAAAACTTATTTAAATTTCTATTTTAACAATATTTATGCATGAAACGTTATAGTTTTATTGCTTTAACTTTGTTTTGCTGATTTCGGAACATTTTCTTTTTGATTTCAACGTCCAGCTTCAAAAATGCATTCAAATATTTAATTTATGGATTTTCGTCCAATTCTTCATCAAAACTCCCATATGATGGATGGTTTTCGTTCTTGACATGCTAAAATTATCGCTTTCAATGGTTTCACTCGGGCAAATATGAATTACAATAAGAAATTAATGAAAAATGAAATTTGAGGTTATGTCACTGTCAAAATTCTACTAAATTACTTCGTATCGACTTTACATGGATTAAATGCAATAAAAAAGGTAAACGGTCAACAATACATGATGAATTCTAACATATTTACGACATTTTATTAATACAAAAACAAATTTCTATAATTATTATTCGTAGCCTCACCTAGGATTAATATGATTATGCAAAACTTTAAAAAATAATGAAGGTTTTGGTTATATTATTACACAACCAATGTTGATACAACATTGTTGATATAAAAAATAATTAGAGTGCAAGATGCGCTACAAATGTACAATAAATGGAGAGATTTGAATTGCTGATTGATCAAAAAGGACTAAAAACTATGCCAGTGTGTTAGGAACTACAAATATACTTATATTGCTGATGATGCATTAAAGAAATTGTTACGTTTATAATTTTTAATAAAAATCATATCAAATATATTAAATAAAGTGAATTAAAAAATTTATTTTATAAAAAAAAATCTACAAGATTTAGTCTTAAAAAATCCACACACATTTAAAATAATTCTTTTAAAAACGAAATTCGTGACGCAATAAAAAGAACATCCACTAACTTTCAATTTTCGCCTTTGTAATCGCCTCCAATCGACTTATAACGACACTCAAATCCATATCTTTCGAAATTTTAACAAAAACGCTTTGTCTCATCTCGTGGAGAATGAGCCAATTAGGCATTTCTTTCGTTAAAGCTTTAAGGTGACCCTCAAGATCAGTTTTAGTATTAAAAGTCCTACAACTATTTCCTAACTTTTCGACAACAACCTCTAAAGGAAGAACGTTTTTGCGCTCAGAAACAAAAATGTTTCGAGTTAATCTCGCAATTTCCGGTAATTTTTTATAAATTTGAACCTCTTTGTCTTTGGCAGTTGATCGAGTCATATTCTCCAAAGCTTTGGCAGCTTGTTTTTGTCTCACTTTTTCTAGGATAGCTTTTGGAATTCCTTTTAAAAGTGGATTTTTAATATCTTCTGATGGTGTTTTAATCTCAACCTGTTTGGTTTCTCGAGCAGATAATCTTTGTAAGGCTGCTTCCATTCGAGAGTTACATTTAAATAAATCTTTTGCTTTCTCAAGGACTTCTTTTCCGGTTGTTACTTTATTTTCTTGGGGGGGTTCTGGTAATTTTTCACATTCGATATCAGGGACAGTTTCTAAACTAAATTCGGGGTGCCATCGCTTCAATTTTTCTTTATTTATGTTCAATCCAACAGATTTTAAGAATTCATCATGATACTGATGGACTTTTTCAATTAATAATCGATTAAATTTCCTCCTCCTTTCTAATAAAACATCAGAAGACATATTTTCTTCAACCCCCGGCTTTACAACCAATTCCCATCGATTCTCTTTAACACCCAAACCAAAAACTCGAAGTTTTTCTTGAACGAAACTAAACGCTTTCGGATAAATCGTCGCAATTTGTGCTAAATGCCTTTCAAACAAATTCCTTTTCAACATTTCTTCCACAGCTGATTTTAACTTTCTAAATGTGATTGTTTCTTTGCGATTAAATAATATTTGGCAAGCAATATCAATTCCTCTAAATATTTCTAATAAGCACTTATATTTAAAGGGTAAAGTAAACGATTCGCTTAATGATTCTTCTTTCTCTGATTTAAGCGGACTTGGGGGTAAAGCAACGGCGTTTCTCGTCGGTGAAAGAAGATTTAAAAGGTTTTTACGCGCTGTAGTATCTTTTTTGGGGCTCAAATATTGTTTTTGTGGCGACAAAGTTTTCGTTGGGCTACAAAAAAATAATTTAATAAACTTAATAACATTTAAATTAAATAATTACCTCAAACAAACTTCCAATTCGATTTTTTTGAACTCCTTTAAGTTTAAATGAACCTCATTCTTCTCATTTTTCTTCTCGATTTCCTTTAATTTAGCATCTTTCTCCTTAAATTTGCTCAATGACGCTTTTAACTCCGCCAAACGAGAACTCCTCGATAATTTCTGCTTAATCTCGTTAAAATTAATCTCTTTTCCTGTTACTTTAACTTTATCCATCGCGTTTATAATTACAGGACTACCCGGAGGTGTTTTAAGCTCCGCTTCGCGATCAACAACCGCTTTAATTTCGGTTTTTTCACAAATATTTTGCACAAATTGTTTAATATCGGGTTGATTTGAAATGGAATCATCTTTTTTACGGGTTCTTTGTGTGGTTCGTTGCCCCTTTTTGGTGATTTTAGTTGTTTCTTTGACTACGATGATTTTTGGTTCATCATGGTGTCCCTTTAAATGCTGTTTATTAATTTCCGTTTCGTTTTGATCAAGAATTAACACCTTTTTCGGGGTTGTTTGTTTTAAGGAATCGATCGCGGCTTGGCGTTTACGCGTATTAAAATAACTTGCAACCGAAGGCTGAGACATTATTTTCTTGTAAAATATAAAATGTCGCTTAACACGTCCCTTTAACGTTTAACTAACCAAAAAACCGTTACAATTCCCTCCGAAACTTAAGTACGACGTGAAGTTAGCAACGGTTTTGGTTCAACTGACTCGGCCAACATTAAAAAGTAAATACCCCACTTTTTCAATTATATAAGAATAAATCGGTTTTTATGTATCATTTTTTAAAGTAAATATCGTTGTTAATAACGTTTAAATTAGAATTTTATTGGTATATAACGAGGATGAGGAAATGACGTTTATAAAGTTTCATAAATTTTTGGGTGTGTTTACTTATTTCGGGTGAAAACAGATTACGAATATACATTAGAAACGTATTAACTGTAAACGATATAAAAGTATTTATCAAGTTTAATTCACATTCCAAAGTGTTTTCTAAACCCAAACTTTTAATAAATTATAGAATTTCATTGAGGACCAAAAGTTAATTTTCCACAGTGAAAGTAAGTTTATAAATTTAATTATTTAAAATTCACTTTATTAAGCTAAACTTACTGTTGTAATTTGCTTTAATTAATAATAATAGAAATTTTATAAATTCGGGTATAACCTCACTTTTAATTGACAGTTCTTATTAAAATTTCTATTAAATTTAATTGGATTAATTTTAAAGTTGGGAATTATAGTTTAAATTCATAAAATTATGTTTGATTTTCCATTTAAATTTTCATTTTGCTTAACTCTATACGTTTTTCATTAATCGGAAATACCTATTAATTTAAAAAAATAATAAAATAATCAAAGTAGGCGATGACAAATGATCCAACAACATAACCTACAAAAACAAACAATATTAGTTTAAAGTTTAATTATAATTTAAAGTGAACGTTTTTATTACTTATCTATTTAATTATTGAGTTTCCTCACTCAATCGAATTATTTATACAAGATTCATTACATTAAAGCAATTTATTTTCTTAAAACTTAAAACCTAAACATAACCCTAAGAGGTTATGTTACAGCGCCCTCTATCATTCAAATGAACCAAATGATGTTTTTAGGTTAATGTGAAGAGTTAAAAAGATTTATTTGCGTTATTAAACTGAGTTTGTTGTGCGAGATGGTGTACGATTTTATATCAACGAATTACTCAAGAATGGTAGTAGAAATTTCAAATATTTTAGATGATTTATTTCACATAGAAGAGTAAAAGCAAAAATTAGGTTAGGTGGTGTACCTTGAACCATTTTATTTCTAAAGGTAATTTTTCAATATTTATTAATTATTAATCAAATCTCTTGGTTTAAATTGATTCTGCAATGCTTTAAGTGATAAAATTCATAGTTGCATTCGCGAAATACTTCATTTTATGAGTAAAAAAGCATTTCGAAAGAAAAAATGTGATTTGTGACCTTGAAAATGTGACCTTGGAACAATATTGAATGTACCTTGGACCAATTAGTAACTAAACAAGATGGAATATGAAGAATGAATGTTGAACTCAATGCCCTGGTTGGTGATGTGGACATAAGCAGAGTTGTTAAATTTCAACGAATTAGATGGCTGGGATACATAAAAAGAATAGAAGACGATAGAAGAGCAAAAATCCTTACAGAATGGAAAGCAACAGAGAAAAGATCTGAGAAAGACCTCATAAAAGATGGTTGGATGATTTGAAGGCGATGGGAGTCAGAGACTGGTGGAGAGAAGCTAGGAGGCCAAAACCCCCCAGAAATAGATAATAAAATGTGACAAGTACCTACCATTATCAAAAGGATAGAAATAATCTTTGGAAGTACTTACATGGAAAAATTATAAAACATTATATTGACTGCAGTTAATTGAAAAGATAATTTGTTCTCTTGTATTGTTGACAATTCAAGGGTAGCTAGCATGGGAAGACATAACAGTATCAACAAAAAAAAAACATCTTCATCGCTAAGAACAAAGTTTCTGGTTGCTTTTGTCATCAATTTTATTCACTGTTCTGACCCCAAAATGTTTTTCGTCTTTCTAGTTGCTAGTTGTATTTGACGTTTTGTCAACATTATAAATTTTGCTTGGTACAAATTTATACCGCATTAAGCATGTTGTTGAAGGCTGTAGTATATGAAAGGCTAGTAGGATTAAGCTTTGTTGGATGTCAGAAGAGAAACAAGCGAATCCATTCCCTATCAGCTTTTCTTTCTTTAATCCATGAATCTGGTATACCTTTTTTATTTGCAAGACTAATTTTTATATTTTTGTCGTCAATACGTTCAAACATGGTGGAATTTGGTGATGCTATGGGGATGTTTATGAGCAGCAGGAGTCCTAAATCTTCATTTTATAGATGGAATATTGATTGCGAAGGGGTGTATAAACATTTTGAAAAACAAATTGAGCAATGTGCAGAAAAATTGGGATGTTTACGAGATTTTATTTTTCAATAGGATAATGATTCGAAGCATACAGCGCTAGATTCTAGACTTTGGCTCGTGTACAACTGTTCAGAGCACCTCAAAACACCACCACAAAGCACAGATCTTCATCCTATTGTTAATATTCAAGAAAAAATTGAAGTATTACGATATTAGAAATGTAATCGACTTAAAAATAGCGTTGAAGACAGAATGGACTAAAATAGCACCTCAATCTACAACTAAATTACAACTTCAACCTCAATCTACGACTTCTTTTATATGGTATTCAAACGTTAATCTGTTATCTAAGACAATGCTCAAATAGGTACTATTTGTAACTTCACTCAACCTAATACCAGAGATTATAAGTTCATGCCTTTTCGTAGTGGCCTTTTTGTTAAAGATCATATATGTACATTTATCGCTGTTTAATTGAATATTATTTTCATCTACCCAAGAGCAAACAGTGTCCTGATCTCACTAAGCATCAGAAAAGATACTATCCATAGACCCGCTGTAGAACAAAACCACCAAATCACCATACATACAACAATTGGTTATATCATTTATATATATTAAAAAAAAGCAGAGGACCGAGGACAGATCCCTGGGGTACTCCATACTTGATATGAGTCTTGCTGCTAGTAGCATTATTGTAAACAGTGTACTGCTTTCTATTTCTTAAATCATTTTTAAAAACTCTCAGTGATGGTCCCTGAACTCCCAAAGCTTCGAGCTTACTAAGGTCCATTACTACCATTTTTTAGTTAAATTTATCTTATAGATAAACCCATCTACTAGCCAATCAGAGCGCGTAAAATAGACGTAACCGTGGTAATAATCCCTTAGATAGCTTAACCAGAAGATGGTAGTAACGGGCCTAAGCAGTATAGCATGGTCAACCACATCAAACGCCTTACACAAGTCTAGGAAAACAGCTGCTGCTCACAAGTTTGGAAACCAATCGTATTCAAATGGGACAGTAGTCTACTTTTTCAAATTGGTTCAAATATTTTGGCAAAGACCGACAGCATAGATATTGTTGGTCTATAGTTCGCTGGGAGAGTTTTTGAGCCTTTTTTATGCACTGGAGTTATTCTTCCTATCTTTAGGATATCGGGAAATTGACCTAGTTTTATTTCTCTATTGATAATACTTGATAGAACAGGTGACAAAACTCCTTTCAGTACTTTCACCGCTTTTAGTTTTATACTGTCATCGCCTGGTGTTGCATTGTTTTTTATATTATCAATTATACGCTTAAATTCATTTGCAGTTGTAGGCTTAATGTACATTGAGGAATCTATCCCATAATCCAAGCTGCCATTGGGGGTCGGCATTCCCGCAAGTAACATTAGAAATTTCCATAGTATCTACTGCGTCTCCCTTACTACTTACAATCTTAGGAATCTGTTTATTTTCCATATTAATCGACAGGGCATTCTTAATAATACATCACTGCTTTCTCGGGCATCCATCAGTATTCTGAAATTTTCTATTCATATGTTCCGTCTTGTTCCTGCTAATAAGGTTTTTGACTTCTTTCCGTAATTTGACAAAATGACACCAGTATAATTAACTTCCACGAAAACGCTTCGTCCTAATATACGCTTTATTTCTTTCTTTTATTTTATTCTTGATTGCTGTAGTGAACCATCTCTCATTCAAAAATGTTGTATTTTCTACCAACTCAATTTCTACCACTCTTCACAGTTTCTACACTTATAGTTTTATTAACTTGATTTTGAAGATTTGCTGATTTTTGAAGATTCGTTCATCTCGGGGAGTTAGCAATTTTGGACGGCGTAGTGCTTTTGTAAGTATTTTAGCTATTTGACGTATAAAACGACCCTCCTTATGCAATTTTATGACTATTTTTTTTAACTTTTTCGCCTGTTTTCGTTCTTCTTGGTGGCATGGCGTTTGATTATGTGATTACTGTGCAACGATTACTGGTAGGTTAGGTAAGGTTAGCCGCACGGGAAATCATCGGTAATACACAAAGCCATGGGGAAATTCCCGTCAGTTTTCAGCTGTACGATTACTTTCGGGAGATTAGAAAGGAACAATTTTGAAGAATTATTAATTTATTTTATTGAATTTTTATTTACAAATTCGTTCAAATAAAATAATTATAACGATGATCAATAAATTAACTCTTATTATACCATTCTATTTTAGAAATCTTGCAAACGTGTACGATAACTTTTGGGACTGACTGTATATAAATTTAGTCTTTTTTTGCAAACGTACTGAGGAATAACGTGTGGTGTTGAATTATTTTTTAGATTCGTACTTCCTCGTCAAGTAGTTGATGTTTTATCAATCTTTATAAGACTTTATTTGAGTAATTAAATTCGTTTTTAAATTCGAAGACTCAAAATCAGAAAGTTTTGGCATTTGGGATGTCAAAAGTGACATGACGAGTTTTTATAACCTTAACCTAACTTTTATTAATTTATAAGTTAATTTTTTTAATTTAGTTTTTTGTTTTATTTATTTAAAATCACTTAATTTAGCTTGATTTTATTTCATATCATAAATAATTTCGATATTTTAATAAAAATATTTATATTAATTTTTGTTGCATCATGAAATCACAAAATATTTTTTAGGGGTGTCCATATTTAAAATATTTATTGATTTAAAATTAAATGTATTTATTGTTGTATCTTATTTGTTTATAAATAAAAAGCGATTAAAATTGTTTTTTTTTAATAAAATACATTTGTAAACGCAAAGTTTGCTATTTATTTATTGAACTTACTAAGCATTCCGCAATAACCGGAGTGAAGTTGGATAAGATGGCGCCCAATCTAATTATAATTCAATTGTGTAATTTTTTTTATTAAATCCGTTTTGCGTAACAAACCGTAGGAAACTCACATCCGTTTCGTTTATCAACCACATCTCCCACTAAATAGTTATAAATAAAATAGGCGAAGTGTTTAGTTTTCTTTTTGGTGATTTTTGAATCGGAATAAGATCGTGTGTCGCGGTCCATTGCTAACATCATAGTAAATAATTAATTATCGGGAGGTCAGTCGAAGTTTAGTAGTCGGAATAGTTCGGATTGTCGGGGTCGTTGTTTAAGGGGTCTTAAGCGAGCCGTTAAAGGCAGTAGCCATCGCAAAATCACCACCACCATCTTCATCATCATCATAATCGTCGTACCGAATAATAATAACCATTACGAGTCGTCGTCGTCGTCGTCGCCGCGCCGCCGTTCGATGCCAATGAAATGATAGACACTTGACGTTTCGAATTCGAGTCCGTAACGTTCAAGTTCGTTTAGTTTAAAAGGCATCTCAAATGAGTTCCAAATTGGACGTAAATAGAAGAGTACTGGCGATACAGGCTAAGAAAAAACGTCACAAGCCCGGTAAGAAAAAAGGAAAAAACGACGAATTAAACGGTCAGTTAAACACCGGCACAAATCGGAACAATTCCCGTTTGGAGCCCTCGCACAGTTCGAGCAATGAAACTATTGCAGATCCGGATGAACCGTACTCAAGCGAAGAAGAGGAACAAGAAGATAGCAGCGATTATCGGAAGGGCGGTTATCATCCGGTAAAAATTGGTGATCTTTTCTTAGGCAGGTATCATGTAACCAGGAAACTAGGATGGGGTCATTTTTCCACGGTGTGGCTGTGCTGGGATTTGGAACAAAAACGATTTGTTGCATTAAAAATCGTTAAAAGTGCTCAGCATTTTAAGGAGACTGCCCTCGATGAGATTAAGATCTTAAAGTCCGTTAGAGATTCTGACCCGTCCGACCCTAAACGCAACAAAACAGTACAGTTGCTAAACGACTTCAAAATTAGTGGTGTCAATGGGGTTCACGTCTGTATGGTCTTTGAGGTAATTATTTTAAAAATTTCAATTAATAATGACGTTCCCAAATTTCAGGGGTGATTCTTTAGCAAATTTTAAGGGTACTTTCTTATATGAACTATGAGCGACTACAACTCCCCTGGGGAGCTACGCCCCTTCAAAAATGGCGGAAGTTAAATTTTTTTTTTTTGAGAACTAAAAACGACAGGAAAATGAAATTTGGGAAATAAGTTAAGCTCATAATAGAGCATGTTTCAAGCTTATTTGTACTTTTAATATTTCCTTCTAAGTTACTAAACGTAAACACCCCCGTTCAATTTTTGTGAAGGTCAAGGTGATAAATACATTGGAAAAATTTCATTTAGATAGATGAAAATATTCCAAAACTTTTTTGTCTCTCTGATGTTCTGTGAAAATTTAATAATTTCTGAGAAAATAATTAATTAAGCTTAAAATAATAACTGTTAAGGTTATTAATAGAAAGTTGGAATGAATTTTAAATAAAAAAATCTGAGTAAGCTTTGCAATTTTTTTTCAGAACTGTTTTGACGTTTAAATGTCAGTGTTTTTTTACTATTATTGCTTTTCGAATTATTTTTTGAATAAACTTCTATCGCATCAACGCTCGTTCGACGTTTTAAAATTTTAAATAAAATAATGATAATAGTAAGAAAAACACTAACATTTAAACGTCAAAAATATTTGTTATAAAAATTGCAAAGCCTACTAAGATTTTTACATTACAAATTCATTCCAACTTTTGATAAATAACGGTAGTTTTAAACACTCATTTTAAATCATTTTAAAAAGAAAGCATTGAGCTTTAATTTAGAATAAGTTTCATTCCTTAATTTCAATAAACACGGCTTCCAGGATTTTTTAAATTATCATCTTTTTTGACATTTTTAGGTTATGCGAAAATGTAAGTTTTACTTCAACATTTTTTTTCTCAATATTTTTCCAATCCAACCCAACAATTATTATACATCATTTTAAAGAGAAAGCTTTGAGCTTTAATTTACAATAAGTTTCATTCCTTAATTTCAATAAATACGACTTCTAGGAATTTTAAAATTAGCATATTTTTTGACATTTTTAGGTTATACGAAGCTAAGTTTTATAGTTATTTCAACATTTTTTTTCTCAATATTTTTTACAATCCAACCCAACAATTATTATACACAATTTTAAAGAGAAAGCTTTGAGCTTTAATTTAGAATAAGTCTCATTCCGTAATTTCAATAATTACGGCTTCCAGGAATTTTTAATTTATCATCTTTTTTGACATTTTTAGGTTATACGAAAATGTAAGTTTAATTTCAACATTTTTCCAATCCAATCCAACAATTATTATACATCATTTTAAAGAGAACGCTTTGAGCTTTAATTTATAATAAGTCTGATTCCTTATTTTCAATAAACACGGCTTCCAGGAATTTTTAAATTAGCATCTTTTTTGACACTTTTAGGTTATACAAAAATGTAAGTTTAGTTTCAACATATTTTTTCTCAATATTTTGCAATCCAACGCAACGATTATTATACACTCAGGTGCAAAAAAAGCGCAACAAGCTAATATTTGATAAAGTTTGAAATGTGATAACTTTTTTATTTTTCCTTCAATTTTCATGATTTTTTCAGCAAACTGTAGATAATACTCTACGTTTTGTTTTTTGGTTCATGTCTCTAAGTGCATTCGTTCATTTTTAAGAGCGAAATGAATTTGTTACTAACAATTTACTTAAGATACGTTACTTTTTAATAAGGTGGCCTTGTTCATTGTTATTCTAATGACAGTTTGATAGCATCAGTTTGTTAGACAACCAATGAAAAGAAAAAAGGTAAGAAAAGCAAACCATGCTGTCGATAACATTACAAATGGACTGCTGCGTAATGTTTTGCCATTCTTCTTGAAGAACTATTCGCAGTTCATGTACAGAAGCTGGAGCTACTTCGCGGTCTCTCACCCGCCTACCAAGCATATCCCACACATGCTCGATGGGATTTAGATCGCGCAAACATGCTGGCCAGTTCATTTTATTAATACCCACTTCATTGAGGTATTGTGTAACAGACATGGCTGTATGAGGCCGTGCATTATCCTGCATTAGGATAAAATCATCGCCTATAAACTCACTAAAGGGTTGCACGTAATTAACCAATATTTCCTAGATATATCGGTGGGCAGTTAATCATCCATCGATGATGACCGAATCAGTGCAGGCTTCCCGGCTTATTCCTGCCCATACCATTACTGAACCACCTCCATAGCTCAAACGGGGGCTGAATGTGCATTCCGCAAACCTTTCTCCATTACTAGAACCTGGATTCATCGGTAAGAGAACATTGTTCCATTGCCTCAAATCCCAAGTCTAGCCACCCTGTGGCGCGGAAGCAATTTGGGTCCAACTGCTGGTCTGCAAGCTTTCAACCCAGATTCCTTTAGTCTTCGTCGAATTGTCCACGCACTCAATTTGTACCTCGGACCTCATTTTTCGTCTGTTCTGACGCTAAATGACGATTCCGCAAAGCTATAACACGTATAAATCTGTTAGTAGCAGTGGTTTTTCGTTTTCTACCGCTTCCTGTACTTCTCTTGTTTCTTCCAGTTTGTGTAAAACGTTCTACCACTCTTTTAAAAGTGGAGCGATGAACATGAAGGATTCTTGCAACATATTCATAATTACGCCCATCTTCAACAAGAACAACAGCTTTAAAGCAATTTTCAGCACTTAAAACCGTGGTACTAATCTTCTGTACAAAAAATCACTGTCCAACTGTCATTAGAATAACAATGAGCAAAGCCACGTTATTAGCAAGTAACGTATCTTAATTTTTATCACGATTTTTCATCTACAGTTTGCTAAAAGAATTATGAAAATCGAATGAAAAATAAAAATGTTATCACATTTCAAACTTTACCAAATATTAGATTGTTGCGTTTTTTTTGCACCTGAGTGTAGATCATTTTAAAAAGAAAGTTGAACTTTAGTTTAAAATAAGTCTCATTCCTTAATTTCAATAAACACAGCTTCCAGGAATTTTTAAATTAGCATCTTTTTTGATACTTTAAGGTTATACGAAAATGTAAGTTTTATTTCAACTTTTTTTTTCTCAATATTTTTCCAATCCAACCCACCAATTATTATACATCATTTTAAAGAGAAAGCTTTAAGCTTTAATTTAAAATAAGTCTCATTCCTTAATTTCAATAAACACGGCTTCCAGGAATTTTTAAATTACATCTTTTTTGACATTTTTAGGTTATACGAAAATGTAAGTTTTATTTCAACAATTTTTTTTTCAATATTTTTCCAATCCAACCCAACTATTATTATACATCATTTTAAAGAGAAAGCTTTGAGCTTTAATTTAAAATAAGTGTCATTGCTTAATTTCAATAAATATGGTTTCCAGGAATTTTTAAATTACCATCTTTTTTGACACTTTTAGGTTATACTATAATGTATAGTTCGTTGTCAATGTAAATTTTTTAGGGTTTCTGTTGGTATTATCTAGGACCCTTATAAGATTTATGTTGTTTTCCTGATTTTTAGTAACATTTTCAGTAACTAAATAGAGAATGAATAAAGTGAGTGAATAAAACATATCACCAAGAAGTACGATTAATTTTATTTTTAACTTTATACATTTGGGATAAAACCGAAGGTTTTCTTCAATTAAATAGTTGAAGTTAAAATACTAATACATTTTTAGATAAATACGTAATCTTGTAAAAACGTGCTAAAAAAAGTAATTAAATAGAACAAAACACCTTTTCTTGGTAAATAAATGGCAAATAAATACCCCATAACATTTTTTATGCACCTTTTCTTCTTGAATAACGAAAGCTCAAACGTCAATGTGACATATTTATTTTAAAATATGATAAAACAAAACTCCCTGTTAATTTTGCCAACTTTACAACAATTTGACAGGTATTATA